AGTACCAAGCAGTTTTGATGATTGCTGCTTTATAATACAATTTAAGATCTGGAATTGCTAGGCCACCTTCCCCTGCATTTCTTTTCATTAGTTCCTTTGATATTCTGGACCTTTTGTTTTTCCAAATGAATCTTGTTATTTTTTTTCTAACTCTATAAAATAATTTTTGGTAGTTGATTGGTATGGCACTGAATAAGTAAATTAGCTTAGGTAGGATTGTCATTTTTATTATATTAGCTCGGCCTACCCATGAGCAACTGATTTTTTTCCAATTATTTAGATCTGATTTTATTTGTGTGAAAAGTGTTTTGTAATTGTGTTCATAGAGTTCCTGGGTTTGTTTCGGGAGGTAGACTCCTAAATATTTATAATGTCTACAGTAAGTTTAAATGGGATTTCTCTTTCTATCTCTTGCTGTTGGGCTTTGTTGGTAATATATAGAAATGCTGATGATTTATGTGGGTTTATTTTATAGCCTGCAACTTTGCTAAAGTTGTTTATTATTTCAAGTACTTGTTCTAGGATTCTCTAAGTATATCATCATGTCATCTGCAAAGAGTGATAGCTTTGTTTCTTCTTTGCCTATTCTAATGCCTTCAATTTCTTTTTCTTCTCTTATTGCTAAAGCTAAGGTTTCCAGTACAATATTGAATAACAGTGGTGATAATGGACATCCTTGTTTCACCCCGATCTTATTGGAAATGCTTCTAGCCTGTCCCCATTACATATAATGCTTGCTGAAGGTTTTAGATATATGCTATTTATTATTTTAAGGAAGACTCCATTTATACCTATGCTTTCTAGTGTTTTTAATAGGAATGGGTGTTGTATTTTATCAAAAGCTTTTTCTGCATCTATTGAGATGATCATGTGGTTTCTGTTGGTTTTGTGTTGATATGCTCAATGATGCTGATAGTTTTCCTAATATTGAACCAACCCTGCATTCCTGGTATAAATCCTACCTGGTCATAGTGTATTATTCTTGTGATAAGTTGCTGCAATCTTGCTAGTATTTTGTTTAAAATTTTTGCATCTATATTCATTAGAGAAATTGGTCTATAATTTTCTTTCTCTATTTTGACTCTTCCTGGTTTAGGTATCAACACCATATTTGTATCATAAAAAGAATTTGGTAAGACTCCTTCTTCACCTTTTCCCAAATAGTCTATATAGTATTGGAATTAATTGTTCTTTAAATGTTTGATAGAATTCACATGTAAATCCATCTGGCCCTGGAGATTTTTTCCTAGGGAGTTCATCAATGGCTTGTTCAATTTCTTTTTCTGAGATGGGGTTATTTAAGTATTTTACTTCCTCTTCGGTTAATCTGGACAATTCATATTTTTGTAAATATGTATCCATTTCACTAAGATTGTCAAAATAATTCCTAATTATTGTTTTAATTTCCTCTTCCTTGGTGGTAGCTTCCCTTTTCATTCTTGATACTAGTAATTTGGTTTTCTTCTTTCTTTTTTTAATTAAATTAACCAAAGGTTTATCTATTTTATTTTTTTTCCATAAAACCAGCTCTTAGTTTTATTTATTAGTTCAACAGTTTTCTTAATTTCAATTTTATTGATTTTCCTTTGATTTTCAATATTTCTAATTTAGTGTTTAGTTGAGGATTTTTAAGTTGTTCTTTTTCTAGTTTTTTTTAGTTGTATGCCCAATTCATTAATCTCTTTTTCTATTTTATTTATGTAAGCATTTAGAGATATAAAACTTCCCCTAAGAACTGCTTTTGCTGCATCTCATAAGTTTTGGTATGTTGTCTCATTATTGTCATTCTCTTGAATGAAATTATTGATTGTTTCTATGATTTATTCTTTGACCCACTCCTTATTTAAGGTTTCATTAAGTCTCCATTTGAGTGTGTATCACATGTTTGATGTTCTTGAATGAAATCCTATTCTTGTGGTCTGTAAAGGATGTGTTAAAGTATCATTCATTTCTGTCTTTTCACATTAGTTTGTAAAATCTCTGTACATGATTGGTTGCTTTGTTGATCTTCTTCACTTAAGAAGATATCTGAGCCCTCTTTCCTTCTTGCAGGTGAGAGGATGACAGTTCCACAATAGGTAATAATTCCATATATGTATATATATGAAAATAAAACCATGGCCAATTTGTGTTTTGTCTGAGATCCTGGTTCTGGGGAGGAGCTCAAAGGGTGAGAGGAGGAAGGAAGGGCGAGGTTTGTATTATGCAAAAGACTGTGACTGGGGGACGGGAGGAGACGGGCTGAACTTGGTGTGCTTCGGCCAAAGAAGAAGATGACTCCTGACAAATACCGTGACATCCAACTCTTGCTCTTCGTGATGGACCTGCTGCCGCTCACCAATGCCCGTGAGTGAACCTGCGATTCTCTTTCCTCCCTGCCCCCCGCCTCGTCTTTCCTCTAGTTTTAAAAAATCGGATGCCATAGCCTGTACGTGCTTCCATTCATGCTTATGCCCCATTCCGCAGTCGGGGTCTTAAGCGTACTCACTATGGCTCTGCCCTCCTCTTTAGGATACTTACGGCTTCTCGCCTGCCCCTGCGCTCGCATCGCCTCTCTCCCCCAAACCCCTGTCCATTCGCTTTTGCATTTGCCAAGTCTCCCCTCCCCCCCACCCCTCCTGGAACCTTGCCCAGTTCCTTACTAAATGAGAAGCAAATCGGAAAAAGAAAAAAAAAAACCTGTCTAGTACCCTCCTCCTCCCCCAACACCTTGTTCCCTGATTTCTTTCTTGTTTTCTTTTCTTTTTTTTTTTCTCCCACTTCCACTCCCATCGAAAACTACTTTCTGCTAGGGGCTTGCTAAGCGGCGCGGAGCTGGGATGGCTGTGGGGCTCTTACGGGCGGTTATTGGGGAGCATCTCAAGCGCTGCTACCTCGCTTAGCTAAAGAGAGAAGTTGAGAATCTTTCTTTTTCCCTTAAATTTATTTATTTTTAGTTTTCAACATTTACTTCCACAAGATTTTGGTTCCAGATTTGCTCCTCACTCCTCCCTCCCCCCACGCCATCTCATCTGCCCTCCCTTCTATCACCGCCCCTCCCCTTCTCTTATCCCCTCCTCTTCTGTTTTCCTGTAGGGCGGTATAGATTTCTATATCCCATTGCCTGTATATCTTATTTCCCAGTTGCATGTAAAAATAATTTTTAACATTCATTTTTAAAACTTTAATTTCCAAATTCTCTCCCTCCCTCCCTCCCCACTCACCCTCATTGAGAAGGCAAGCAGTTGGATAAAGGTTGTACATGTGTAGTCATGCAAAACACTTCCGTAGTAGTCATGTGAAATACTAACTATAATTCCCTTCATACTGTCCTGCTCTCCCGTTTATGCTGTTCTCTTCTTTGACCCTTTCCCTCCTCAAAAGCGTTTGCTTCTGATTACCCTCTCCCCCAATCTGCCCTCCCTTCTATCATCCCTCCTTCTCTTATCCCTTTTCCCCCTATTTTCCTGTAGGGTAAGACAGAATTCCATGGCCAGTTGAGTGTGTGTGTTATTCCCTCCTTAAGCCAAATCCGATGAGAGTAAGATTCAAATAAGGGAGGAAGACGAGGCTGCACAGGCTGCACCCGAGTGGAGTTCGAACCCCAGGAGGGAAAAGATGGGCAGAGGTCTCTGGACAGGAAAGATGGAGCAAAGCTGCTTTATGCGGTGCTTAGCACAGTGCCAGGCCCAGAGCAGCCACTAATAAATGTCGATTCGCTGGGGATGCTTTGCTCGGTCAGCTAGCTGGCTCAGTGGATAGAGGGCTGGACCTGGAGTCAGGAAGAGCTGGGTTCAGGACCTTACTCACACAATTAGTGGCTGTGTGACTCTGGGCAAGTCCCTTAACCTCTGTCTTCCCTAGCTTCTCTGTCTGTAAAATGGAGATGATGATAATAGCGTCTACCCCACGGGATCATTGTGAGGATAAAATGAGATATTTGTAAAATGTTTTGTAAATGCTTTGCTTTTATCCCCCCTTTAGAATGTCATCTTCTTCTAAGCAGGGAGTAGGGTTTTTTGTTGTTATTGTTGTTGCTTTCTTTGTATTACTCACTGCTTAGTACTATGATTGGAAAACAGTAGGTGACTAAGAAATTCATGTTGGTTTCACTTGACTTTCACTTGTAGAAGAAAACTGAAAAAATTAAGTTTTTCTCTATTTTTGAAAACAGTTCTTAATTTAGGAGTTAATTGTACTTTGATTGTTTGATAGAAGTCATTTGTGATTGGAGGGTGCAGCAGATCATTAATAGTCTGTTTAATGTATTCTGAGATTACTTTGTATATATTATCTATTTTTGGGTAGCCAGTTTGGATATTTTTTGGTAAATATTCATAATTTACTTTATATTCTCAGTTTTGTGAGCAAATAGCTGAATGTAATAATCCTTGATAATTACCTTAATTTCATAATATTAGTTGAGGTGTCTTCTTTCTCATTTCTGATTTTGGTTATTTGGTTTTCTTTTCCCTTCTTTGTTCAAATTTCCTAATAGTTTATTAATTTCATTGCTGTCTTAAACAAATTCTTTGTTTTATTAATAAATTGTTACTTGTGACTTTATGGATTTTTCCCCTGTGATTTAGCTGACAAGTATATTTAAAGTGACAAACACAAACATAGGTGTGTGTATATATATCTGTATACATATATGTAGGTACATGTAATATTTAAAGTGACAGGCAGGTATAAGTTCTTTGGCATTGACAGCCTAAATAGACTATGTAAAGGAATGGTCCTGGAGTCTAGAGATATAATAAAGATATAATTGGAATTACCTAGGTGAGTAATAAGTCCCTCAATTGAATCTAGAAAGGATTTCACAGAAATGATAATGTACAAGATGACAAAGAGGGAGATTCAGTTTCTTCATCTGTAAAATGGGAGGATTATATTTGTAGTGGCAAACACAGGGAGTTTGTGAGGAAACCTGAAGAGTGTTGTGGAAATTCAAGCAATTGTCGTTATGATGTCCATTTGAACTAAAATAAATGACATACAATCTTTGATGTTTCTAGGCAGGGAACTGAAGTCTTGAACTAAGGAAATGGGTAAAGAAGTTGACATATGAGTTATCTGGGAGAATATGGCAAGTGAATCCATGGGCACAGATTTTTGTTTTCCATGTCCTGTTGGCCAGTGAAAACCAGAGAGCTCTAGAACATCCCTCCTGTCAGAGAGGTTGGTAATGTTGCATGTGCAATATTACTAGAAAAGGCTTTGAATGAGTGATTAAGGTTGGAGAGTGTTAGCCAATGACTCTGTTTCCAAATCTTGAGTCAGAGTTTTAAGTAGTGGTGTGTAGCGGAGAGAGAAGGGAGCAATGTTCTTTGAGCACAGCAGTGAGTTGTGTGTCCTCGTCCATAGAAAGGGAGGGGTAATTGGGATTGTGAGGATGGACAGAATGGGAAAGGGGTCAGATTCAGAAGCAGTGTGTGGCTGGGTAAAGGACTTGAGGAGGAAGAGGGAGAACTGCAGGTCAGCTTGGTGAAGACATTTTCTTGGATAGAGGAGAGGGAAGAGAATACAGAGAGAGTGACTCCAATCTTGGTCAGGCATTTATTCCTGCGCTGCCCTTTTCTTTCTCTCTCAGGATGTCATAGTCTTCAATACAACTTTTTTGCCATGGTCAGTTCTGATGGAGAACTCCTTTCATATTCAGCCCATGGCTACCTAGATGGTGAATTGTTCCTTCATTATGACAGTGAGAGCCAGAGGCCAGAGCCTCGGGGCACCTGGTTGGGTAATCTTGTGGAAACAGACGCTTGGAAGAAAGAGAACAGTAATCTGAAGGTGATTGGACAGGAGTTCAAAATAACTGTGACAAAAATCACGGACCAGAGCAACCTAACCACTGGTAAGTTTGGGGCTTAGGACAGGGGCTGAATGAGTGTGGGATTCACTCTCCCTAGAGACTGTGTGGTGTAGTGGCCAGGCTGCTTAATTGGGAGTGAGAGGAACAGGATTTGAATCTCCAGCTCTGTCCCTTACTACTTGCATCATCCTGGGCAAGCAATTTAACCCTCATGGGCCTCAGTTTCCTCATTGTATAATTAGGGAAATCTCCTTCTAGTCCTAAATCTTTGATCCTATCAGGATGGGGAGAAGTGTTCTTTTCCCATTCCCTTGTAAAAGAGTATGTGAGTTCTAGGTGTCTGTTGAGGGTAGGACAGAAAGGAACCTAGAGAAAGATTCTTCCAATTAGGTAAAAAGGGAGAACAGAGCCATGACCAGTCTGGGTTTGGGGATGGGTCAGGTTCTCACACCTTCCAGGAAACACTGGGCTGTGAACTCCATGAAGATGGCGACTGTAGAGGATTTTGGAAGTATGGTTATGATGGAGAGGACTTTCTCATCTTCCAACCTGAGACGCTCACCTGGGAAGCAGTCCATCCTGCTGCTGGCAGTCTAAAGAATGCTTTTGAGGCAGAACAAGTAGAAACAAAGATCAAGAAAGCAAAAGTGGAAGGAGACTATTGTGATCAACTTTTGAATTACCTGAAATTTTGGCAGGAGAAAAAAGCAGGTATTGACCTGGGATAGTGGCCCTCACCCCCAACTGCCTTGAAAACTCCTCTCTCTGTCCCCCATCTCCTGCCTGAGCTTTCTCCCTTCCTATGCAGAGTAGGAAATCAGTCCTACCTTTGTCTGTAGATAGACTCCCAGGATCCATGGGCTCATCTCCTTGGGGACCAGTATGGGTATAGCTCACATATTTTTTCTTGGGGAGCCTGGATGCTTGGGTGCTAAAGTTCCTATGTGCCCTAGACTGAACGTTACTGTTGATGGTGGTGAGGGCATTCTCTTTGTCCATCATTAGGAGAGAGGCTGTACCTTCACCTCTTCCTTCATTTTGGTCTCTTACCCACAGTATTCCCTTTGCTGAATGTGACTCAACAGGAGAACCGAGAGGGAAAGGTCACTCTGAGGTGTTGTGCTTACAACTTTTTCCCTCGAGACATTAAGGTGACCTGGATGCAGGATGGGCACGCACTGAATCACAGGGACCAGGGAGGAGGAGTCATCCAGCCTAGTGGGGATGGCACCTACCAGACCTGGGTGTCTATAGATGTCCACCCTGAAGAGTCAAATTACACTTGCCATGTGGAACATCAGGGAAGGAACCAAACCATCTCTGTACCCTTGGGTAAGTTGTGACACAGTCATAATCAAGAGACAGCTGGGGCTGGAGCCAGGACCCTTGTTGGAAACTGACCCTTATTTTCCACATATATCCAATGAAGGAGTTGGACACAATTATCTCTAGTCCTTTTCCAATTTTAAGAGTCCTTGAGTCTAAGGGAGCTCCTATTTTCTTCCCCACCTTCAAGGTGTATGAAAGGGTGCCTTAGTCAGTGTCCTGATACCAAGATCTTCCCTTTATGGTCCTTGTGGGAGTCAGGATTTCACTCAGTCCTATGGGATCCAAAAGGGTGATAGAGTAGAAAGTGTCCTGAGTCTTCTCAGAGTCAGGAGAGACCTGTCATAGAGGCACAGGTTGACCACTTGCTATCTTTGTGACCACAGACAAGGCCCTTGAACTTCCTGAGTCTCAGTGTCCACCTCTGTAAAACAGGGACAACAGGACTTACATGAGCTACATAAGCTACACCTCTGGCTGGTTGTGAGGAAAATGCTTAAAGTGTTCCAGAAATGTGAACTATTACTCTCATCAAGGATGTCTCTTCCAGGTCCTGTTCCAGAGGCAAAGAGGAGATACTGGGTCCTTGCTGCTCTGCCTTTGCTGGTGGTGTTACTGTTGCCTTTGGGCTATTGCTTTGTGGTGTCAGGTGCAGAGGGAGAAGGCACCAGCAGGATGGCCTCCCTGTATGAGCTATGATTCAGTGACTCCCAAGGCCTGCTCCTGGTTTGTGGGGCCAGGGCTGTGCTCCACTCTCACTCAGACTCATGTACTACATACTCTATTTCATTCATAATTACTACATATTTTATGCCAAAATTTTTTTTTTTTTACAAAATGTGAGGTATGACAATGAAGTGAATCTTTTTAAAAGATTTTGCTGCTATTATTTAAAAATCATTTGTTACTGAACTGTCTTTGGTGCAAGATTAGGATGCATGGAATGCTCATGAGTATATGTTATAACTGAATAGTCCAAATCGGCTCATATCATTTCTTCATGACCACTTAGTGAGCATTTTTCCTCTCTGAAAAATAATGTTAACACATTAGTTGTTATTGATATGTGCCTTATAGTTGAAATATTATGCTTGACAAAATTTACTGTGTTGTTGGGAAGTACAGACTTACAAAATTTAATCTGTGTTGGAAGATTCTGTGCTGCTATCATTGGTATTGCTATCTGACACACAGTCCTCAGCACCACTCATATCAGATGTATTTACTTTGCTGTCACTGTACCACAGTGGCTCATCTTCAGATCCATCTAGTGCATTTGAAATGCCATCTTTTTTTGAAGCTTTTGAAGACTGTTTCGTGTGGTTTAAGGTTCCAACTCTTAATTACTGGTAATGAGTGTGGGCTGAGAATTCTAGGCTTGGGGCTCACAATGGCGATAGATAAATGCATACCCATATGCTGCTGATGCATACATTGTTTCTCTGTTTACCTTGTATGCTGTATGAGGAATAGAATCACACCATGTGACAATTATGCGATAAAAGGTTATAAACCTGTTTTTGGACTGAAAAACATGCTAGGCCTATTACGTGACTTTTATTCAGCACCTCTCAATTGCACCTGAGGCTGTTACTACCAGCTATGGTATCAATACTGACAGAGCCACCTGATGATGGGTTCTGGGAGGAGGTGATGGTACAGGGAAGCTGCTAACAGGCCTATTCAGGAAGTGACTGGAAGCCTCTCCTATGTCTCCGAAACAAATCCAGTAGCATTTATTAAGTAACTGCTACGTGTCAGGAATTGTGGATGCAACCATGAAAAGGAAACAGTCCTCAATCCTCAAGGAATTTACATGGGGAGGGGGTTGGGGAGAACCTAACTTCTTCCACAGCTTAAAAAATACAAAGTAAATACAAAGTAATTTCATAGCAGAGGAAGAAAGTTAATAACTGAGGGATCCAGCAAAGGCTTCTGTTTGTTAGGAAAGGTACCTGATGTGAGCTCTGAAGGGAGCAAGGGGAACCGGTTCCAAAGGATTGGGGTGGGTTTGGTTCATTAATGGAATCACAGGAAATTCTTGGAATCTATGAAAATTTGACTTAGGCTGGTTTTGTGTGCCTTTAGTGTTTGACATGTACTGCACCTTCCCTGCTGCTGTTGGGCAATACTGCCCCTAAACATAAAGCTGGATGTGGCTAATTGCTACTGGGACATGTTTTAAAAAAAAGAAATGTGATTTTGGTAACTTTTCCTTTTAAGTCACCTTGAATATCTCATCACAGAATCATCTTTAATAATATATTTTTTAAAAGAGCAAGAAGAGAAGAATTTTAGCAAGATGTTTTCAAAAGTCTTCATCTGTTCCTTAAAGAAGACCCACCCTGCCCTTCCACTGCCAAAGAAGGAAGAGGAGACCTTAGCCCTTGGAGCAGGCACAACATGGGGTCATCCTCTAAAGCTCTGGTCTCATAAAGTCAATCAATAATCAATCCATTAAACACTTATTAAGTTCCCACTAAGTGCCAGGTACATAGAAACATATTAAGTGTTCCCAAACAGCAGTGGAGGGGTATTTAAGGGCCCACTTTTCCAACAGATAAGCCTCAGTAGTAGCAAGTCAGTCTTCTTTATAGAAAAGTAATAAATACCCTTTGACTCAGCAATAGCACGTCTAGGGCTATATCCCAAAGAGATCATAAAAATGGGAAAAAGATCCACATGTACAAAAATATTTACAGCAGCTCTTTCTGTGGTGGCAAAGAATTGGAAGTTGAAGGGATGCCCATCAATTGGGGAATGGCTAAACAAGTTGTGGTATATAAATGTAATGGAATACTATTGTGCTATAAGAAATGATGAGCAGGCAGACTTCAGAAAAACCTGGAAAGACTTGTATAGTCTGATGCTGAGTGAAGTGAGCAGAACCAGGAGAACGTTGTACACAGTAACAGCCACATTGTTCGATAACTATCATTGATGGACTTAGTCCTTCTCCAAAAGTTGCATGATGAAAAATGCTATCCATATCCAAAGAAAAAACTATGGAGTTTGGATGCAGATTGAAGCATACTATTTGCTCTTTTTGTTCCTTCTTTTTTGTTTTGTTTCATTTTTCTTGTGGTTCCTCTTATTGGTTCTAATTGTTCTTTACAACATGACTAATGTGAAAATATGTTTAATAGGAATGTATATGTATAGCCTATAGCAGATTGCATGCTACCTTATGGAGGGAGGTAAGGAGGAAGGGGAAAAAATTTAAAACTCAAAATCTTATGGAAGTGATTGTTGATAACTCAAAATAAAGTAATAAAAACAAACAAAAAATGCTGCCTGATAGATTCATTGGTTCTCAAAAAAGAAAAAAGAAAAAAGAAAAAAAGGCAAACATTCCAAAAGTCATTTCAAACAATGTTTCTTTTTGCCTGGGCAAGAAACAATTCTCATATTTTTATGGATCCAACATAAAGTCTACAATTCAGCAACTGAATTTCTTCACATCTAGTGACTTCTTCAAGTACCAGGCAGTACTTTCATTTTTTTTTAACTGCAGCTCTTTTTATTAGAATAACTGAGATATGATTTCCCTTCTATGTGGCATAGACTATTTGTCATAAGACACTATCCTGGCAAGAAATTATTGCAGCCTAACAGAAATGGGTGGCTTTTATCAAGCATGTCTAAGGTGCAGGGCTGTGCATCCACGTTTTGTGCCATATATGTTAACTCAAAGTTATCAACCATTCATCACATTCCAAAAAGAAAAAAAGAAAAGAGAAAAGTAATAAATATGCCACATGTTCCCCCTAACACTTGGCCTGGGAAGGTCAGTAAACACGAATTGAATAGGTGACATTACCAGAGACGTTTAAAGCTCTGAGCCAACTCTTTTCCCTAGGCTGAGTAAAAGTGGTCTTGGACTTGAACCCTAGCCCGGCACAGTCCCTTTGCGGCCATTTCGCTCCGCTCTCCCTCACCTCACCCCCACCCCGATACCCAAGTCTTTCCCTGGGAAAGGGGCATGAAGTTGGGGTGCTTCTCTGTCTCGTAGAGCGTGTCAGGTGGCCGAAGGGACAAGACAAGACCCGGGGCTCGGACGGGAGGGCTGGGCTGCCCTCACCTCCTGCTTTCTTCCCTAAGTAGCGGAGGACGCCCAGCTCCCTTTGCTCAACTCCGGCGGAACCGGTCTCTTCCAGACCTGTTCTTCCACCGCCTGGTTCTTAACTTTCTCAGGATGTTGGGGAGGATGCACAGGGCGGGGATTTGCGGGAGAGTTTCTGGGCAATGTCCTGATCTCCGTCCCAGGCCCCATCCCAAGCTTCCCCACTTCCCGAGGGGGCTCCTACCAGCTCTGGCTGGTCCGCTAAACCAGTGGGAGAGACCAGCGGCTAGAGCCAGGGATCACCCGCTCACGCCCCGCCCAGAACACAGCTACTTAGCTGGCGTGGAGCTGGGGGTGTAGGTGCCTCTTTGGTTAGAGGGCGGGGCTTGGAGTCAGGAGGAGCTAAATTCAAATCCACTTCAGGCTTAAATTCTCTGCCTCCGTTTCTTCAGCAATTAAAAAAAAAGGATGGTACTAAGCAGTTAAAGGCAAATGTGAACTTCAACTTTGAACAACTTCGTGATGATTAGTCCTTTGTTTTTGATCAGCATTTTCTTACCGTTTTTAGTCATTTATGTAGTCATATAAACTACATATGTGCATGTTCTTGGGCCATTTATTTTAAATTTGGTTTTTGCTGCATATGCAGAAGTCCAAAATTAAGGAGACTGAGTTTCAGAATACAGATAAATTTAGTGCAAAATGGGTCTGCATCCCTCATTAAGTACTTTGGAATCTAAAGCAGAATACATTATCAGTTTTTTCCTTCCTTCCTTCCATCCTTCCTTCCTTCCTTCCTTCCTTTCTTCCTTCCTTCCTTCCTTCCTTCCTTCCTTCCTTCTTCCTTCCTTCCTTCTTCCTTCTTCCTTCCTTCCTTCCTTCCTTCCTTCCTTCCTTCCTTCCTTCCTTCCTTCCTTCCTTCCTTCCTTCCTTCCTTCCTTCCTCTCTCTTTTTCAACCCCACTGACTTTGCAAGCTTCTGAGCCTGCTTGGCTTCCTGTGTTCATCAATCAACCACGTCTAATCCCTCCTTTCCCACGCTCCTTCTTCCATCCTCACTGCTATTGTTTCTTGGTCCATGAATGTAGTACTCATTCCGGAAGGGGTGTGTGGGGGGGGGAGGTGTGTGGAGGGGTGTGGGGGTGGGTGGGAGTAATGTTCAAGGCTAGGGGAATCTTGGAATGGGGTAGAGAATACTGAGGGTTTTAAGAATTCATTGGGAAGAAGAGAGCAGAGGACTGAGGAGAACAAAGTGAGGAAGAGTTGGAGGTGAGACTACAGGAACAGGAGAATGTTGGAAGTGAGGAGTATAGAGGATTTGTGGATGTGGATGGAGATGGATGGGGGATAGAGGCACAGGCAGGAGAAGATGGGGTGAGTGCAGAAAAGGAGTGAGAAGGGGGGTAAGACTAGCCTCTTGCAGAGAAGCTAGAGTTTGGGTTAAAGGAGCTGGGAGAAGCCTAGGGCTGTATTTTTAGGGCAAGGGAGGAAGAAAACAGAAATTTGCTGTTCTGTTTCCAGATGTCTTCTCGAAGCTTGAGGCATTTTTCACCCACATGATCTCTTTCCAGGATTCTGGTGATGGTATGGATGTGACAGTAGTAGAGCCTCTGGCTGGGGTGGAGGGGAAGTATTTGTCAGGGGCAGATATGGGGAGATATGTAGCTAACAAAATAATGTACATTTAAAAATATGTCTAACTGAAGTTTCTTTAATGCAGCCTTATTTGATTACAGCTGAATTTCCAACATGAAAAGTTCTCCACCCCTTGTTTAGCCGTTCCTCTATTGATAGACATCTACTCTGCTGGACCATTGAAATTCACAGGGAATTTCCCAACTTTATTGTGGCTAATTTTTTCCTTCCAAGCAACTCCTTTTCAGGAGGGTCATTTTTCTCCTCTATTTTGTCAGTTGTTGAAGTAAAAGCAAGGGTCCTTTCTGGGTTGTCTGTTCAGGGTATGGGTTAATGCAGAGTACTTCATAGGTACTGAGCCTGGTTTCAAATCCCAGCTCTGCTATTTAATATCTGTGTAACAATGCACAAATCATTTCAGTTCACTGAGCCTTATTTTCTTCACCAGGGAAAATGGTTTGGATGACTTTTAAGTTTCCTTTCTACCCAGCTCTCGTATGATTTTAACCAGCTCTTACATAAAAGAGCCTTGATGCCGACTGATATTGATTTAGGTCACAACTGTGCAACTGAACTGTTGTGTCCACCAGGTGGCACCAGATCCCCAAACATGTTGCCAAGTGTCTTCTATACGTTTACTGCTTCCATATTGTTTTGTTCTGAGTATTGAAGAGGGATCAAGAATTCATTGTTGTTCAGTCGCTTCAGTCTTGTTCAACTCTTCATGACTACGGTTGAGGTTTTCTTGGCAGAGATACTAGCATGGTTTGCCATATCTTTCTTTCAATCATTTTACAGATGAAGAAACTGAGGCAAACAGGGTTAACTGACTTGCCCAGGGTCACACAGCTAGTAAGTATCTTGAGGCTGGATATAAATTCAGGTTTTCATGACTCAAGTATCTTTGTCAAGAAAACCCCAAGTAGGGTCAGGAGTAGTCGGACATGACTGAAAAATGACAGGACAACTTTCCTGAGCCAGTGCTCTATCCATTGCACCACTTAGCTGCCCTGAGCGAGAATTAACTAAATATAAAGTAACAAGAGCTGATCATTGTCCTTGAAGAGCTAATTTCAACTTGAAACCAGTCAGAAATACCTGTAGTGACATAAAAACGGTTACAGAGCAGCAGAAATGCCAAATGGTATAAATATGAATGTTTCAGTGAAGAGCGGACATAGACTAAAAGTGAGGGGGAGTCAAATCAGGGAAAGTTTCTCTGAGGTGGTGGCTTTTATAAGCTGGGTCTTGAGTGGTTGTTGGGGGTAGAGTTTCAAAGGGAACAAAATCTTAGGACTGAGAGGGATGGAGAAGTCACCATGTCCCTCCCCCTGTTATCTGCTCTCTTGAACCATGTGACCTTGGGCAAGTCATAGAACTTAGGATCAGTTCAGGAAAAAGCAGATCTCACCCTTAGATTTAGGTAGGATCTTGCCTGAAGGCTAAGAGGATAGGTTAGAAGTTATCTCCAGGTTGCTTTATAGGCCTCAATGTCTATTATGAACCACCAGGAGAATGGAAACACTTCCCCTGCCTACAAGGATTGATAATCAATATTTATAGAATTTTGAAAGATTCAGGGGTATAAATGAAGAGGTTCCAAGAGATCGTTATCAAAATAGTAAAAATTCAGGAGAAAAGAAATGGAGGCAAAAGATGGTTGAACTTTTATTTGGGGCATTTTTAACAGATCCGGCAGGCTAGTCAGCACCATAATAGAGTTTCTGTTGTGTATAAATCCGTAGTTGGAGCTACAGAGAGGCAAAAAAGAAAGAGACACATAACCTTTGCTTATGATCTAGTTGGGCAAACAAGACACAGACAAACATGACAGAAGAGTGTAACTTCACTGAGGTGGAGACTGGGCCCTTTATTTCACTGTCTTCCCCAAAGGACCTTGTCAAGGGGTGATTGAAGGCCTATCGATAATTGTTGAACGAATCAAATGCTGCTTTTACAGAACAATATGACAAGGACAAATGGA